CCTTGTAAGCAAAGTTGATGAATTCATACCTATTCTTTGCTTCCAGAAATGGAATGAAATACCTCTGATTAAAATCAGTAAATCTCTTAGCTGGGCTTTTTGGTCAGCACTACATGCATATTACAAAAATGTGTATCTACATACCCCCTCCCCAAATCATTTAAGGTGAAAATAAATCAGCCAGTATGTTAATTCAAGAGAGAAAAACTAAACTAGAGTGGTGTGGTGTTTTTATGACATCAGTATATACCCATGGCTGAAAAAGAGAGACAAAATAAAGTCACCCATACCCTTGGAACATACAGAACAATTTTAGTACATTTACATTCTGGAGAAAATTGAAGCACCCAGTAGTAAGTGATTCTAAGTGAGATCTGTAGTTTCTTATTCTTCATAATTTAATGCTCAAGTATTTAGAGAAATAAGATATTTGCTAAGTAAGACTGTGCATTAAAAAAAAATCCTGGAGAATGATTAAACTTAGATGAATACATCAGCTAAATCTCGTGGACATTTTCAAAAGAGGAAAAGATTAATTTCTAAACTATACATCAGCTCAAACTTAACGTCACCAGGAAAAAGGTCTGGAAGACATTCTTAATTTTTTTATGGTTGTACTTATTATTTTATTACTTTTTTAAAATTGAGATAACATTGGGATACTTCCATCAGGTATTACCAGTGTAGTACATCTATCACCAACTTCCCCCATTCAACTACCATGAATCATTGTGGTCTAGAAGGCATTCTTAAAACCATGGTTAGAAAGTACTGAGTAAAGTAAAGCAGGAATTACAAGAATTATGTTCGCAAGAAACAAATCATACCAAATTTAACATATTTTGGGTAAATTGGGGGAAATAATAGTTTTAACAGGTCATTAGAGAAAGTTTTTTTATCCCACTGAGTTTAAAATAGTGAGGTGAGGCTAATGATTATCAAGTCTTTTAATTCCTAACAGGTTGAATGAGTTTAACTGATGCCTATGGTTTAAGATGATTCTTTAAAACCTGGATGAGGACAGCTATTGCTTGCTGTCTAAATTTACCAGTCTATTAGACAAGGAGGATATAATATACAGGTTCCATAAATATATCTTTCAAAATAAAATGTTAGGAGTTTAGGGAAATGGGCCAATTTTATAAGAAAAAAAGAAAGAAGGAAGGTAGGAAAAGATATTTAATTTGATTATGTGTAGTATAGATGATTTCATTTTGCTTTTCTGGGATATGCTGGGAGTGTGAAATTTTAGCAAGAACAAATATTTTAAAAATCAGATTTTAAAATAAAATTAGTATAAATTAATCTTTTCATATGGCTCCTAAGATTATAAGGCAAGAAATAGCTACATTCATGTAAAATTTCAACTTGAATGTTATCTTAAATTCTTGTCACTAATTTCTATTACATAGATAATCCCAAGAACGTCAACTGAAAAATTGTTAGGAAAATTAAACTATCTTTGCATGACTGATTTATCTGATAATATGGGTTAGTCCCTTGCTCTTAGTCCAAAACTAATTTCTCTTCTTCCTCATTCTACGCTAAGTCTCATGCCTCATATATATATATTTTAAATTAAGGATGTTTAAAGTAGGCAATATGGAAGACATGTCACACGTGTCAATTCAGGGCCTTAAGAGAATACTATTCAGAAGAGAGAACAACACTGTAGAACCTAGTCATAAAAACATGGAACATTAAAATCTTATCAGTTCAAAATTGATAAAATACAGAAACACAAAGAGAAGAAAATTTAGAAAAGCAAGAGAACTCAAGAAAGTTGAAAAGAGACACAACAAAATTGAGAATGAGCTGAGAAATTAGCAAACAAAAGGCAGAAAAGACTACGTGGGGGATTGTCAGTTTTCTCAAAGATGATAGTACACGAAGGACACAGAAAGGAAAGAGAAAGATACGGATGTATAATTAAAAAGGAAGAACTCTTTGGAAAGGCAAGTAGGATAATAGATATTCCATAAGAAGGGAAGAGATTGCAGGGTAATAGCTTATTTTTTTTTTTAAAAAAAAAAGGTAATTGAAGGAAACAGCAAACATGGGGAAGGAATTAACTATACAAATCTATGAAGATAAGAAATTATCTGATTGTCTAAATTCAGTGAGGTCTACATCACTTCATATAATAATGAAACTACCACAATTTCAAGACAAAGAAAGAAAATAAAAGCCTAGCAGAAAAAAAGCAGGTAATTTGTAAAGATATTCCCACTAGGCTTTCTATAGAGTTTTCGGGTAACATGCCACAGACAAATCAAGAAGTGAAGGACCTTTAAAGTACTCAAAAATAAATACTGCCAGTCAAGAATGGTTTATCCTCAAGACTCTGTTTCATACATGAGGGAGAAATACCTTCCCAGACAAACGAGAGTCTGCCAACACTAGATCTCCCCTACAAGAAATGATAAACAGAGCTCTCCTATCTAAATTTTAAAGAAACACACCCATACATACAAGCAAGGAAATAGAACCAGAAAACTAAAGACAAAATGGATGTGGGAAGACCCAACCCCCAATATCAGGAATCACCTTGACTGTAATTGACAGAACCCATAAATGAAAAGGAACAGAGTGGCTGGTTAGATCAAAAAGAAAAACCCAGCATTCTATTGTACCCAGCTGAATGTCAGTAATAAACATAGACTCAAAAGATTGGAAAACAATTTTACAAATAATAGTAGGCAAGGAAAGTGATACTTGCCATCAGATAAAAGACTTGTAGCTAAGAAAAGTAGTAAGACTCGCTGAACATCTTATATAATGTGGTGGCCAGTAAGTACATCAGATGAATATAACACCCATCAATATATACCATATAAAGGAACATCAATATATATATGTGGTATCTACTAAGATTTAAAGGGAGATATGGACAGCAATACAGTGGTAGCTAGAGACATCAAAACTCCACTTACATCAGTGGTCAGATCAGCCAAAGAGAAAATCAAAAAGGAAACAACAGCCTTAAATAAGGAATTAAATCAACTTGGTTTAGTAGACATTGATACACCACTGTGCCTGAAAAAAAAAAAAAAAAAGGTTAGTACATATTTCTAAACATTCTCCAGTATAGACTACATATGGATACAGTGCCCAAAGACAAATGAATAGATTATTAAGATGATACTGTGCAAAATGGAATATTACTCAGCTATAAGAAAGGTGAAATTTTGACATAGCTACATGATGGAATTGGGTGGCATAACGCTACCTGAAATAAGACAGATGGAAGAAGTCAAATCTGGAATGATTTCACTCAAATGAAGAATATAAGGGGATAAAGGAAAAGTCAAAACTAAACTAACTTTGGAGAAAAGTAAGTTGTGTATTATACAGAAACTTTGAATTGTCAAGAAGTTTTGACATATTTTGAGGAGGGATCAAATACCAGTTAGACTGGAGTAAGCAGAGGAAGAGCAAGAGTTCCATAGTTAAGAGTGCAGACTAGGTTGCTGAGCACTAAGTCTCACATAATAAATACATTAAACTTTCTGGGCTACATGGTCTGTGGTAACTACTCAACTCTGCTACATTATAATAGCCACAGACATTTTTTTTTTCTTAAAGACTTATTTATTTGTGCATACAGAACTGGGGTACAGGCCAGAGGCTCAGGGGCAGCGAGAGGCTTCACCAGAGTCAGAGTGGGGAGCAGAACAGGCAGATCTACGAAGTACATTGCTGAGGGGAGCAGCGGGTGGGTCAGGAGAGGTCTGCCACGCCATGTGGTCACCTCCAGGGCAGGCAGGAATCGAACTCATGCGGAAGTGGCTGTGCTTTAACCCGCTGCGCCACCAGGGGAGGGCCAGCCACAGACATTCTTAATGAATAAAACTGAGTGTGTTCCAAACTTTGTTAATAGATGCTGAAATTTGTGTGCTTACAACTTTTGTGTGTTGTAAATTACTTTTTAAAAATATGAAAGCTACTTTAAAATATAAATATTTCATAAAAATACAAAAAAAAATTAGTTACTAACCCATACAATGTTATCTGGTAAGGCAAATATTACCAAAGAATCACAGTTTGCTATTTCCTGTTATACACTTATATTTCCTATTCATTTAACTCTTTGTGCTTTATCTCTTAAATGATAATTACTTCTGCCATCACATTTTTCTTCTATTGTCAACATTTTTTTTCAGTATTCCAATAAAGGTATGGTTAATGCTAAATAAATGATGGTAATAGCTCTCTTTTTCTGTTATTTATCTGAGTTTTTCAACTTCCATTTGAAAATTGATATGCTGTAACTGACCCTTTCTGTGTTTATCCATAGGCTTTAAAAAAAATAACAAATGTTTTTTTTTTATTTTTCCTCTAATTTTTTTTCCAGTAAGGGATGCATATGGTGCTTTCTTCTTTCAAGCCTCATACTGAATTTTATATCTTATTTTTACCTGTAACAGTTTTATAAAAATTAATTCTGGCTTTCAAAATTAAAAATAGTAGAGTTCAGATAAATGAAAATAGTGTCCATATAATTTCAGAACCACAAATCTTGCATTCTGACTAAAAAGGAAATTTCTAGTTACTTTCTTGAAGTGTGCCATTCAGTCAGCTGCTCCATGAGATGCTGGAAAATGTTATGTAGTGGAAATAAAGCACACACAGCTGGTTAAAATTTCATTTGACTCGTACTCAATATAAGATAATATACAACTTAATATCTTGGAACCTAACTTTCCTTGAAGTGTGCCAGATATCTAGTCAATATATGGAAATTCCCATCCAATCCTCTTCTTAAAGTGTTACCTTTACACAAAAGTAACCATTTTAAAAGTTTGGGAACAAACAATATATTTGGTGATAGTGAGGGTTTTGGTTTTGAAATTAACCTGATGGAGATAGTAGTTAAAATAAAAATCACTTCCCAAAATGAACCAGTAAACATTTAAAAGTTAATATAGACCATCAATAAATATCTGTAATTTTTAACTAATATTGCCCTTGCCTAATTTATTTTACTTCTGGAAACTTAGGTCTGAAAGTTCTCTGGAAGATCTACTTCAGAGTGGACCTCACCCAACTGCAACTTCTCAGGTTTTACATACTGGTAGCCCAGTAGCCACACTTTCTAAAGTAATTACTAGGTAGGGTTTTTCCTTCTTGGTATGTATAAATTTTACTGGTGATGAAATTAAATACTAAAACTGCCTTTTTAGTAAAAGGAAAAAGTAAGCATAGATTAAAATACTGACATCATGAACATAAATATGAGAAGTCCTGGCACCGCTCTCAGAACTGCTTTACACTGTTTTTATTATTTGTTTAGATTCACAGTTCCAATGTAGAATCAGGAAATCTGGCCTGTTATTCACTAAGATTTGGAAAGTCTACTTGGAAAGTGGATTTGGAAAGTTGAGTCTACTTTCCTGGATTAGAGCTTCTATCTTTATAAAAATGTGGTGATAAAAATCATGTCTCAGGTGCCCAGACATATTCTAAAGGTATTCAGGCTAAATAGTTGTTACAGGATTTTGCTGGACTCTGCTAAGTTCTTTTATATTATGATAATGAAATCCATTATTGTTTATTTTTTCCATACAGGAGAATAAAGTAATATATAGCAGAATCTTCTTTTTTTAAGCTGTTTTTCTTACAGAATTTAAGTTCCTAATTATTATTTGCTGGTTTAGTCATTCCTCAATATCTACAGGAGATCGGTGCCAGGATTCCCTACAGATAGACCATCATCTACAAATGCTCAAGTCATTTATATTAAATGGCAAAATTTGTGCATATTACTACATCTTAAAATAAGACAATGGAGTCTGCAAAATCTGTTGACTCTTCCTTTTATAATAGATTTTTTTTTTTTTTGGCGTACATGATGCTGTTTGACAGCATTTTACTCATAAGTAGCATTTCTTTCACAATTTGAGTCTGTTCTCTCAAACCCTACTGCTGTGTTATCGACTATCTTTATGAGATAATTTAAATTCTTTGTTCCCCGTCAGTGAAACAGAACATGTTCACTTATTAATTTAGTTTTTTCTCTTGTAATTACTTACTCAAGTAATTACAATAGTAACATGACAATCATGATTACAAATCACTGTAACAGGTGTGATAATAATGAAAAAAATTAATATATTTCTAAAACTACCAAAATGTGTGTCACAAAATACATGTTGAGTATGAGTATACATTCATACTGTTGAAAAATGGTGCCATAGACCTGAATTCATATCAAATGTAATTGCTGCAATGCACAGTAAAGCAAAGTGCAGTAAAATGGTGTAGGTGTCATATAAAGTCTATGCTTGGTAAACAGTTTTTACACTGGAGGTTTAGGGAATTACGAATAACTTCAGATGGTCAGTGCCAATGTAACTGTGATGGGTCTGGCTACATAGTAATTCAATCTTTGGTTGAATCTGCTGAGGGTAACCTGTAGATAATGAGAGCTGTCTATACTTGTCCCAAATAACCTTTGTTTCAGAGATGCAGAATTAGTTGAGAAACTCAAAGCTGAATTACTTAGAAACTACATCCTCTTGGAATGGAATTCATCTTCCCCCTTCTCTGACACTAATAGCATCATTCTTTTCTCTTTCTTTTTTATTTATTTATTTATTTATTAAATTTTATTTTTTTTAAAAGATTTATTTATTTGTGCATACAGA